CATGCACTGAGTTCAGCAACTTTCAGGCTCAGTTATTAGGAGCAAAACTGTCCATACAAGGTAAGATACTGTGTAGCTCTGTCCAGCAAACGCTTAGTAGAAATACTTAAGAAAAGCAATGGAAGTTAAAAGAGCAGTTTGGGCTTGATGTAGCATTTGAAGCCTTTTATGCAGACAGTTAAAATTTACAGAGATAAACAGATCAGTGAACATGATGAAATGTGTGCCTTGGATGGTCATCTGAGTTTACAGTACATAAAACTAAAGGGTATATACAAGTGTTCACACAATATATTAGTCATCTAGCTGTTGAAAGCTGCTGAATTTTGAAAACATGGAACCCAAAACTTAGTTGAGAGAGTGTACATACACTCATATATACCTATATATGGAATAACCGTCTGACACATGGTCGCAAGTGGTGTTCCTAGCAGACCTGCTGGCATTAGATGGTAGTCTTTATGGGTGATCCCTTCACACAGTCCTGATGGCTTTGGCTCCAGAGACACCAAGTATCGCTTTCCCTTTTTGCTCACTGCTTGTACCTAAGTGCCAGCCGTGGCAGCTGGGCCTGCTGTTGACCAGCCAGAGTATTCATGAAGATCTTTCCTTCCTTAGGCCAGTCCGGCATGTGGGGTGCTACAGTTTGGGAGAAATCTGGAGTCTTGCTGTTTGGTTGCATCCACAAAGAAAGGAATGGGTGTCTTGGAAACAAGTTGGTTACTCTATGGCCACCCAATCTCCCTTGTTCTAGAATCAAGAAAAATCATACTGTGAACAGGTGCATGACTGTTTGTTGCTTCCCGCTCCCAGAAAAAGCGGCAGGAAAAGCACAGGCACTGACATCCACTTCTGGGAAGGAGGGACAGCAACCCAGGGAGAAGGGATGAGTCTAGTTAATACTGCTGTTGACAGATTTTTCTATTTTTACTCAGTTCGGCTTATCCCATACAATTTAAATAAAGAACATGGGATTTGAGTCTGTAATCCAGGAAATCTGTATTACATAGGTTTTTCTCGCAACCCGTTAGTGAAAGTAAAAACTATGCCACATACAGATGAGAAATTTCTCGAAGGGCATGTGTCCCTCTGAATTATTAAAACACTTTAATATTGTCACACTTAGATATATCTGTATTATGATTACATTTTCTACATTTGCAGTACAGGGGGGTCAAATACACAGCTTCTCTGCAGGCAGACCTGATAGGCATTATCCATCAGGCTCTGCATAGCTGAGAACACGTCTAAACAAAAGTTCAGACCTTTGTCTAGCAAGCCCTGTTACAGAGCTTTAGAAAGGCTCCCAGGTGAACTTCTGGGAAACCAGCAAGTCTCTGAGACTGCTAGAAATCATGCTTTCAGTCTGTTTTTAAAGAACGCTTTTCTGAAAAAAAAAAGAGTGTAAGAAGGGCACAGCGCTACAAGCTGTTTGATTGGTTTCCCCACACCTTGGCAAACCTAGGTAGACTCCAGCCTGCTTTATTGCAACATTGGGTTTTGCTTCTGCTGTTGTTTTATGAGAGTCTGAAGTCCTGAATCTTGCTAATTCTGCAGGGTCATGCTGCTAATGAGTGTGCTTAAGTATGTTTTTTGTTTTGCAGATGAGCAGAGTTGCTTAATCAGTTCCAATTAGAAGACTAATAAATTTTCCTTAGGTTTATGCCAGAATAAGCTTTAACAAGAAGCACTTGTTTTTTATGCCAGAAAAGGTGTGTTTCATTAGTCTTCCTCTCTTGGCTACAAGTCAGGATCAAGCTGGTGGAATTGACACTTAGGACCTCTCTGCTCCTGTAAACATGCTCTCCTTGCCTCCTTCCCCAGAAGCGCCATTAGTTTTAGTTTAACGGATGTGGTAATTTGCACTTATGCAGTATCGTGGAATAGATAATACTTCTCTTCTTTTGTGAGTAGGTAAGCAACTAAAGATTACAAAGATGATCTTCATTACATGTAACAAGAACTATGCAAAATGCTAAGGATGGCTTCATGTAGTTGGAAGAGCATCTGGTTTACAGTGGCAGGTCGTACTGAGCTCTGCTATGGATGCTCTTAGCTGTCTCTGCTCTATGCCTCAGGTGGAAGTTTTGTAACAGACACACATTATAATTGGTGCCTAAATTCCTAATTTTGGGTGCTCAAAATTAGGGCTCAGAGATTAAATCAGAAAGGGGATCCAAGATGTTTGAGGGAGCACCATACCATAAATAGATAAAGCAATTAACAGCAAGGTTGATGCGTGTGACAACTGCAAGGAAGATATAAAAATGTGTACAACTTACATTTGAGGTAGCAAGGCTCAAAGTGTAAAAATGTTGCAGGGAAGAAATATTTCCTCAATTTCTTTGAAATACAAGCAGGTGTTTGGAAACAGCAAGTCATTTAATGCTGCTATATATGCACACCTGTAGAACACCTTCTTCAAAGACTTGCCACTGGAGTAAGGGCTTTACCTGTGTACCTGAGTGGATGCGAGTTGCTGGGTTGACAAGACCATGTACTTCACAAAGGAGACTTCCAGGGCTTGTTCCAACTTGCAGAGAAAAAAAATACATGTGACAAATGTATACCTGCTGATGTAAGTATTTCAGAAGTTCTCTTGAAGCACTTAAAAACAGCTTCATTCCTTTTGTGGCACAGAGTATTTTAAAAATGCTGTGAAAAAAAAAGGAGATAAACTAGAAAACTTTTCATGGTCTTTAAGAATAAAAATGTGGGAGTAGAGAAGGGAGAAAAGTGATGGTGGTATGCAGCTGATGTGAAGTGAGGCAAACTACTTCCCCTCTCCCACTCCCCTAGTTTTGCAGTGCTGGATCCATGGGGTAAAGTCATTTACAAAAATGTTTTAGCATGGAGTATGTCCTCTCTTTGGAGGCCAGAGGATGACGAATGCCTTCTTGTAGGCCAGCGTGTTCTTGAGGACTTAAGAATAAGATTAGGTCTCTATCACAAACAGTACTTTAAAACCTTTTAAACCTCTTGAATCCTCACAGAAGTCCAGCATTGGAAATATTTTAACATAGATACTTAACAGACCATTTTTTTCTAGAAAGAAAAAGGATTTACTATGCTGCAATTCTTTTGATGATCTCAAAACTGAGAAAAGGGGCAAGATTTTGCTGCCGCAGCCTAACCTTCTGCTTACAGCTTGTACGCTTTCCTGTTCTTCAGAGCACTTTACGGGAATATAGAAATGCAGTCTCCTCTTTCTGTCACGACTGGAGCCCTGCCCAGTGGCTGTAGACAAGCAACGCCTTTTTGTTCTTTAACCTCCAACTGAACCAGGGATGTGAATCTGAAGAGCTGAAGCAGCATTCTCATCCTGCTTCAACCAGGTCAGCTTTTTTTGAGCAGGGCAAAGTGAAAATAGTTTTTCAAAATCCAAACGCAGCAAAACCAAAGAAAAAAAATGGATTATCTAGCATCTGGTTATTTGCAAAATTTGATGCCATTTTCTTTTCCCGTTAGCACACGTGGGGTTTCTTTAGCTGCTGACAAAGGGCTGGAAAAAGCTAGACCCAGGGCAATAGGAAGACAATTCTGATATCCATAGCTCCAACCATGACCTCTAGAGCAATAAATGAACCCAGTCATCTAGTTGAGTTCACTTTAGGAAAGCTGGACCTGAGTGGTAAGTCTCTGCTGTTGTTCTTTCCACAAGCACTTGGAAGAGTATTTCCACTGGTTAATGAGCTATGGAATAACAGTTCAGTTACTTTATCCACACCTGCCTTAGCAACAAGCTGAAAGTTGTTATCCTCTATGTGAACTCCAAAAATAGGGTTTTTTTCCATTAAAAAAAACCAAAACAAAACAAACTAAGAATATAGCAATTCTCTGAGCAGACTGTTGTCATTATTTACTTGGAAGGTCATTTCTGTACAGTTCTGGGAGAGATGGGTCTTTACAGAGGCCAGTAAATCCATGCTTATCCAGAACATGGGTGACCAAGAGTGAATACTTGATGTTCATAGGCAGAGGAGGATCTATTAAATTAGAGGAAGTTTTTTGTGAAGACTTCTGTGAAACTTGCAGTTCAAGGCTATGATATTAGAAGGGAAAGACAATGAATAAATGGTTTTATTGGCCTCTCTCTCTTCCATTCACACAGCAAAGGAAATGCGTGTGTACATAAATAGATATGTGCGTGCACTGAAAATAATACGCAGCTGAGCTATGACAGTGACCTGTTCACCAAAAATTATAGTTCAACACCCAGTGAGTTCTGAGAGAGGATTTTAAGAGGATTGCCATCCCAAAAAGATTACAGTAAGGTAGTTGAATCAATTGCCTGGTTTGAGATCTACAAGTTGAACTTAAACAAAAGTGTACCAATATGTTTATTTTGCTACCAGGCCAGCTGAAGTGGTCTGAAACTTTCAAGACTTGCCTGCTTTATTATTCATGTAGTTATCTTTATTGCACAGTAAGTTTCACAAATGAAAGTCCAAAAACTGGTATAACTGATGCTACAATATCGGTGCACTCCGCTGCATACAGTGATGCTAACATTATGGAATAAATCCACTTTAAACACTCCAAGGAGATATGCCCTTTGTCCTACCACCAGAGGTACAAGTATTTAATAATACACCGGCATTTGGAAAAGTTTCACTGCCACCTGCTTATGTAAAATGAGTTGTGTAAGACAGAAACAGGTTCCCAGTATGTTATAATAATTAAATTATTTGCTTTTTACTGTTTTGGAAACGAGCAGCATCCTCCCACTAAGGAATGTGGAGCATAGCCCACAAAATAGTTGTCCTGTCCTATCTCTAACATTGTTTAAGTTGGGGGAGGGAAGGAAGGAAGGAAGGAAAGAAAAGCTTAACTTTCTCCAACTGTTCGTACCCTCCTGCAAGACAACAAATGCAAAGCTTCAACCATATGGTAAGATGATGTCTTTAAGCCTGTTTATGTTGATTTCTAGAGCACAGAAGGCAACCAAATTAAAAACATTTTCTCCAAGAAATTCTATCTGAATAATGAAGCCTGTATGATCACAGAATTAAAGCAAGTGCCAAGAGATGCATGCAGGAGGTCCTTCAGAGAAGTGTCTCGAGTCCCATGAGTCGTGGTTCATTTATTTTCGGTTTCTTGGTTGTGAGGCCATGTACAGTGCTACCAGACAGTAGATAGTCCCGCCTATTGTTAGAGCCATAGTGGTCCGATAAAGCAGCTTATCTGGGACTCCTCGTTTCAGGTGTACTGGCAGTCCATCTGCTTTCTGTGGGAAGAGTTTCAAAAGAAAACAAACAAAGAAATGAACACACGTACCAAGGCCACATGGAACAAGATACCTCAGATAAATTAAAGAGACTTCCATGAGGGAAACCTCCTGACAAACAGACTATCTACAATCAGGTGTATTATGTGTTTTTCATTTAGCAAGACAAATGCAAAGGCAAGTTAATTTTATTAGTCAAAGCTGTTAAGTGCAGGCAGAAAGAATGTATCTTGAAATATTTCTAAAGAGGACCTTGATGGGAAAAGTGTCACTAACAAAAGAACGTGAAAAGATACGTATAAAAGGTTATTCACCAAGTCAGACTGACACATTCCAAATGCAGGTGGCATGTAAGAGAGACAAGGGTATGTTATATAAAGCACGTTCTTCATGGGTTTTTTGAAAAAAAGCTTAACTGATTTGTTTTATGAAAAGTCCTACTACACTTAGAAATTGCACAGCTAACAAACTGGCTTTGAAAACTTCACTCTGTTCTTCTTATACTGCATTATAAACAGCTTCAGTAATATTCAAATTATTATACACAAAACAGTAATGATCTGCTTTGCTTGTCCAGATCTGCTTTAAGACATATGCCTGGACTCCCAGACAGAAAGTGCTTTCAAGAGTCAAATAATGTAATAAGCACCTTCTGAAACCAGCAAAAAGACAGATAATGTTACTAGACTTTCCACTTTCTGTATTTCTCTCTTATACAAGGCAAATATGTCGTAGTATAGTACAAGTATAGTGGTTATACTCTACTCTACTTGACACTTTCTTAACCAGACTTTACATAATTTTGGTATTGCAGAATGACAAAAGTAGCCACATTAAAATAAGGAAAGATATGTCCCACTCTCCAGTTTTCTTTAAGTTACTTTCAAAGTTGTCGTTACCTGAAACAGTTTCTGTAGGTCTGGCACCTTGTTTTTACCCAAGAAAGAATCAGTTGCTGGTAAATCTGAAGCAAGTTTAGTTGTTGTCCCAAAAATCAGAGCTGGGGATTCAGTGGAAACTATTGGTTTGAGTCCCTGCATAAATAAAGATTAAAATATCAAGGTATATAACACTTGCAAATGCACCAATCCTCATGTTAGGCAGCCACACTGCCAGTCGTTACAAGGATACATTATAAAGAATATTTATCTGGTATGAAGACCTGTGAGAACAAGTTAAAGACACACTGTTGGTCCACTCAGCTACAACTTTGGGTCAGGGCTTAGCAAGGAGAACAGAAGCCTCCTTTCTGATTTCTTCATCACATAAATTTGCAGCTATTAGAAGTTTTTCTGTGCTGGTACTTGTTCCAAATTGCTGTTTGTTTTTCACACACAGTCAGAATATCTAGGGCTGTACCCAAGTAGCAGGATTAGAAGCAGGGCACACCTGATGCTTGGGTGAAACACAGTGAGGAGACTTCAATGAACTCTTCCTCCTGAATGCTGCAAGCAGCAGCCATAAATGATTTGGATGTACAGTTTGAAGGAGGGGGGGTGGGGGGGGCGGGAATTAGGACCACTTGTTTCATACAAAAGTAGTAAGTGGTGCCCAAGGACACTTCAGAAGCTCTGATGTGGTGAATATTTTACACAGGTGTAACTACACCCTGTAATTCAAGTGCTGCTGCAACCTTCCACCCCTTAATGTACTCATGAGCAGCGTAACTTAATTGCTTCTCAGTTCAGATGGTTGTACTATACATTTGCTGTAATTAAAAACTACATAATCCAGTTCTATGGATAAGATTAAGTGCACAATGTCACAGCCATCATAAGGTTGGGCTCCTTGCCTTTATTATTACAATTAGATTTAACAGTTATGCCTGGACACATGGCAGTGATGTTTTACATTATGGCTCCTGAAACAGCTGTAACTTTTTTTTTTCCCCTTAACTTGCCACAGAAATTTAAAGCATTGTACAAACAGGTTAATACAACAAATTTTCGTTATAAACAGAAGCAGCAATTGCTCTCCATGGGCCAAGTTAAGGCTGCACTGAAGTTCTAGTTTCTGTTCAAGGAACTAGTTGATGTATTTTGTATTTAAGAGAACTGCCTGAACAGTATTTGGAGCTGGAAGCAGACTGGCGCT